TCTCTTCGCACTTCGATTTAGCCTTACTAATATAAAATAAACATCATCAATATTATTGCAAATATTGTGATCATTTTGTTGTTTTATCATTCTTCAAATTTCATAAACCGGACTATTAAACATGCATACTATAGGAAATATACGTGGACCACCTTTCGTTGACACAGACACAGACACACACACACACACACACACACACACACACACACACACGCATAATATATGAAATGGATTAGGTCCAACAATTATTTAATGTATTTTCTATTTCTATTTTATTTTTATAGGTATAATTTCTTTAAGTAAATGCTCTGTTTTTAATTAAACAGTATTACTTACATTTACCGGTCTGAATGTTTCTGAGTTGAACCTGTAACCCTTGTGGGAACCGTCATATAGACCGACGTGCCGTCACGATTCAGTCACAGAGAAGCGTCGTGGATAGCAAAGTCCGAATTACTGTTTATAAACGCACTCCTTCGACGATTTTTAGCGCTTGATCATTTCTTCTCACGAAACATATCTTAACGTAAACAACGACAACATATTATGAAAATGGATTAAGTCCTACAATTATTTAATATATTTTCTGTTTATCTATAAAAAAAATACCGTGTAAACAGAATTGATTGTGTGGATGCTGCAGTTGAACGGGTGACCAATAAAACATGTAATACCCAAAATGGACTGAAGCCAAGGATTACGGCAGAATTCACCAACTTAAACAAGGAGACTGTCCAGATATGTTGCAGGAAATTCCGAAGTCGTCAGGAGACTGTGGTTGAATATATATATATATATATATATATATATATATATATATATATATATATATATATATATATATATAGCCGCGTACAAGCCTGTTTCGCTGTATCAAAGCTCATAAATGTGGCTAGACATCCAACCGGGATCGAAACTCGACCAATTTGGCATCAGTCAGAGATCCTACCTCTAAACTATCGGCGCACGGCAGAGGAAAGAAAACGTTTAACGTTTTATATACGTGATGTATACAAACGTCAGTAGCCAAGACCACTCAATTCATAACTAAAGAGCGATGCTTTAATAGCGGGAGTAGCCAATGTTTTTAAAATTATCCGTTCACTATAGTGCTCAATCGTCGATCGAGTGCATATATATATATATATATATATATATATATATATATATATATATATATATTTATCCATGTGTGAATGGATATAGGAACTGAGTTCGAATATCACTATCGTCGTTTTGTCTGTTTGACGGGGAGGCGGTCCAAGCATCGTTGGAAAGCTCCTGAAAATGATACCACGTGTTCATTTTAAGTTATCATAGGTAGACGTAAGTGTTCGTCTATGTCTGTGGGTGCATTAGACAACAAGTCACCATGACCGAGTGTTTTACTATACTGGCCTTGTCCAAACTCGACATACAGCACATGTCTATATGTGCCAATATCAATTGCATTTATATCCTGACGAGTGGACCGAATGATTGCTGGAGTGTCCGTCTACGAAACTCTAGATATGGGATACCTAATAACAATTTGATAAGTGACAAATTTTATACTTGCATTAATCCCCCCTCTCTCTACCTGTCTCCCTCTCCCTATATATATATATGTGTGTGTGTGTGTGTGTGTGTGTGTGTGTGTGTATAAAAGTGAATATTGAAGTCAACACTTAGAGGCGACAGTCTGTTTCATGCTAGATGCAATCGTCAGGCCACGAGTCTTGTCCTGGCCTGAGGATTGCGTCTTGCATGAAACAGACTGTCGCCTCTAAGTGTTGACTTCAATGATCACTTTTATATTTATATACGTTCTATCTCTGATATTGAGCACTTTATCCCATAAATATAGCACATCTTAAGACTATATTTCCACACACACACACACACACACACACACACACACACACACACACACATATATATATATATATATATATATATATATATATATATAAGGAAACGATTACAAATTTAATATCGAGAGTTTTTATACACTCTGTGTCCAGAAAAGAAAACATTTGTTCAAACAGAAGAAGAATTAAATAAAAAGCTTAACCGCCGTACCTTGTCTGCCATTTTTAAGGAAACATGTGTATATTAGGCAGGGATAGGGTTAGGATTAGGGCAGGGTTATTTTGCTTCTCTGTGTCGGGTGTCTCTGCTGTTTATATCGAGGCTACCGACAAAATTCAACGATGCATATGCCTAGTATCTAGGCACCAGTTACTTTCACACAGACGTGTTGTGGCTTTCCCCTGTCGTTTCTACAAATGTTTCCATGGCAAATGCTCTGACGAGCTACTTTCCTTAGTGCCCCAAATGCATCAATGTAGGCGTGCAACTAGGTGGACATCTCGGCCTCACCCTTACACTGTCGAAACAGTTAAATGTAACCGCTTCTTCTACTCTTCCAACAGCTTCTTCTATCGTAGTTCCCGACAGGGGAACACCTTTCCTCTTACTTGCTTCCCTGATAGTAAAATCTTCAAATATTCAAATGCAATGTCAATCGACATCTGATTCCTTAATATTGATCCTTGTCCTTCTCTTTATACTATTCTCAAACACTCCTATTTAGTTTTACTTTCATTCTGTGGAACCACTTGTGGGCTTGTGACATTCTGGGTTTTGCTTCGGGTGAAATGCTCATATATATATATATATATATATATATATATATATATATATATATATATATATATATATATATATAAAGAAAGAACAGTAAGATATATAATCCTGTGTTCTTACAGATATTTTTATTTTTACAAAATAGTGCTCAATGTAAATTTACAGAGCATTAATATTATAAATTAATTCATTTTAAAAATATGTTTTTTTTTTCGCCACACAGTTCTAACCATGTTTCAAAAATGGAAGCTAAAAGCTCCGAATTTAAATTTGTAATTAAATTAAAGACATTAGTTCCGTTTCATCCTCAAGCGAAAATTCGAAGCTTTTAGCTTCCATTTTTGAAACATGGTTAGAACTGTGTAGCGAAAAAAAACATATTTTAAATCAATTAATTCATAATATATAATGTGTGTGTGTGTGTGTTTGTGTGTGTGTGTATAGTTTGTCTATCAAAAGAATATACACGTGTATATTTAATCACATCTATAACCATTCACACATATTTGTATGTATGTGTACAGACAAATATTATATTGTATGCATTTGTACAGGTACAATTTGTACAGACACGTATTTTGTCTGTACTCATGCACCCCCACAAAGGCTTACACTCACTGACATCAACACATCTTTTAATTTATCTATTTATCTAATTGCGTATAAATACATCCATCAATCTATATATATATATATATATATATATATATATATATATATATATATACAAAATTTATTTATTTAGGTATTTATCTATATATATAGTTAAATATGTATATAGACATATACAGTTAAATAATATATATATATATATATATATATATATATATATAAATAAATATATATAATATATATATATATATATATATATAGAGAGAGAGAGAGAGAGTGAGAGAGAGAGAGTGAGAGAGAGAGAAACAATGAGATAGATAGATATGAAATTATAGACTCATCGTTTATCATGGAAGGTTCTGTTCTTTGTAATGACGGCTTTGAGTTGTTTTCCTTTCTGACATCTTTAACCCACACCACCATTCCCACCACCCCAGAAAAAAAAAGTGGAAAAATAAAATTAAAAAAAAGAAAGGCAAAGAAATATGGATTAAAAATGAAATAAATTTACAGATTAATCAAGTCTCTTGTTCCAGTTTGTGCCTCTTTACTCTTCATTGATGCGGATTTTCCTTCTGTCTTTTTTTTCTTCTTCAAAGTTAATTAGCCTCCAAACCAAGATTTACGAAATTTGAATGCATCTCTGCTTTTATTTACGTGTCTGTTTGCCTTTTCCGTATTTTGTCGCTACCACTGCGTCAGAAATTTAGAACTTGAAAGTAACTCTGTGCAAATCGCCATTTTTAATCCGGTCCTAAATTATAATAATAAAAAAATGACTCGTTTTCTCTCTTTCTGCCATTGTGCGACATATTGTTTGTTTGAGTTCACAGAGTATACAGAGTCAAACTCCTCAATGGATCCACATGAAATTTAACATCCACGCCGTTCTTAATCGCACTAATACGATAGGCAGACTGAGGATACATTACAATGAAACTTAATGGGAAAACATGCTCTTTTGAAACGTCTTCAAGAATTTATGAGAAAGGAACTTAGTAGCTTGTTATATGGAAGATGTAAAGGTGAAAATAGGAGTTTCCATACAAGAGACATTCGACATTGATTGACTGAACACTTAACGTCACTGTCATTTGAAATTTAAAAATTCTTTCTCTGAAAACATATTTTTTTTGTTCGGAAATTGATCTCGTGAAGTCCACTAACTGTTATCGCTCCTTCTAGTATTGATAAGAGTTTCCGTCCACAGCTTTGTTTAATGTAGTGCGGAAAGTCGCCATCTTTACTGTATGATTATTTGTCTTCCTATTTGTATGACGTGCACATTTTCATTGTTGTTTTTGAGAATCTTCGACGGATGTGGTTTTTTTGCTTATTAATAATTATCGACTCCCTAAGCAACTTTGCAAACCTATCGCTACTTCTATCACGAATATTCTGATGGACAACATTTTTTAGTTCCACGAGGTTAGACTTTTAATACTGAGATAAACCCTGCCGATTTCACGGCGTTCAACCACTCTCATTTCTTCCGTGTTCCAAATCTAACAAGTAATGTCCAGTCATATTCCCCGCCCTCCAGAATCCCAGTTTTATGGGGCGTACTTCCGTCCGTGTGGGTACTTCTTCGTACATTACAATTTGAACCTTTTCTAGTGAGAGTCAATGGCTTTCTGTCCTTCTTATCCTTATAATATCCACATCGAACAAACTTCTCTTTCACTGATATCATCTCACGCAACTTGTTCATCATTTCCATTTCGATTGTAACACACTAACTTGAGTGGCTCTCTTCTAACATTTGACACGTCAATAGATAGATAGATAGATAAGGAACAGACTTAGATAGATAGATAGATAGATAGATAGATAGATAGATAGATAGAAATACATTTGTTACTCTCCGATCGATGTGACTCTGAGTTGAACGGACATAGGAATTGTCAGACACAAAATATAATTGACCATTTTAAGATGTCACTATTTCTAACCTGGTAAGATATTAGTGTAGCTCATTTAGTTATAAGAAAAATAAATAAATGAGTTAAAAACGAATCAATTACAAAAATGTATTGATCGTTCTTAGTATACACACACACACACACATATATATATATATATATATATATATATATATATATATATATCTGCTACTGAAAAGAATTATTTTGGCTGATCACTCGGAGCGGAAAAGTGATTTTGTGAATAGTGACTATTACTACGGCTAATGCAAGAGTCTTCGATAAAAACGAATCGAGTTCTCCCAGTCACTGTCATATTTATCTAAAAATAAATACATTTAAATTCATCTTCACGGTATATTCTCCAACCGATGGCAAATCAGTCGGGTTTCCCGTCCCGCCTTGAGGCAATCGGATGTCTAGCCACACTGATGAGTTGCGAAGCAGTCCGTCTGTTGAAGAATATATATATATATATATATATATATATATATATATATATATATATATATATATATATATGTGTGTGTGTGTTTGTGTGTGTGTGTGTGTGTGTGATTCTAACTGGTAGTACAACACAGAATTTCATTCACAACGCAGCCGTCAGGTGCTGATTGTAACTGATCGTTGCATAATACACACACACACACACACACACACACACACACACACACACATATATATATATATATATATATATATATATATATATATATATATATGTGTGTGTGTGTGTGTGTCTATATATAGGTCTATAAGTGGTTGGTTGGCTGTGTGTAGGTGTGGGTGTGGATGTCAAAAATATGCTAGAAAACCCACGCAGAAGAATTAGTTGTAGTGGTGAGGGCATGTTCAGGACCATCCCCATTTTTACTGATAAGAGAAAATCGGTTGTAAAGATTGCCACAGAAACGCTGAACCCCATTATGTTATTACTCTCAAAACTACCATCAACAACGACCATACTGCGCCTTTAGACGGAACATGCTGAAAAAAGCAGTAAGCTTCTGATGCCGTCAGATTTCCTTTTAAACCATAGCGGGAAGGTGGCTTGGGAGCACCTGTGATTTTCTTTGCTCAGGTCTGTTCAGACTCCCATCAATAGTATATATATATATATATATATATATATATATATATATATATATATATATATATATATATATATATATATATACAGTAGCGGCCATAATATAAGGAACGGAAACAACAAAGACATAAATATGTGTATTACTTAAAAAGTAATGCATGATTAGCAATGAAATTGTTGCCGAATAAAGATTATGGTGTATTGCATAAATATACAAAGTTACAAAAATTTACTGAATAGTTTTTTTTTTTAAATAAAGATTAAATGGAACAAAGGAAGTAAGCTGCTGGACAAAAGTTAAAGAACGATGTTAATAATTTGCATAAACTTTTAATTTACATTGTTTAAAAACTCGATAGAGCTTTTCAACAATATAGTTCATTTATCATTAGGACTTTATTTTTAAGCAGTATGGCAAATTCTACGCGCAAAACGCTCTCTTTTGAAGAAAGGAAACTCATTATCGCTAACTATTAAGAAAAGAAAGTCAATTTCAGAAATTTCTGATATTGTTCATAGGTTTAAAAGTGTCGTTCATTGTGTAATTAGCAGGTATGAAACCAATAAAACGTTAGATGCAAAACCAAAAACCGGCAGACCTCCAAAAACATCGCAAAGAAAAGATCGAAGAATTGTTAGAATATCTACGAAAAACATTTTGAAACTGCTACATCAATTGCCTGTAAATTTAATGAAGAGACATATTATTAAGATCTCAAGGAAAACGGTTGCTCGCGGGTTAAAAAAAATGCAGGATTGCATGCCCGTATTCCAGCTTCGAAGCCTCTCATTTCAAAGCGAAACCAAAGGGCACGCCTGGAGTATTCGAAAGAACATGTTGTTTGGACTGACGCACAATGGGATACAGTTCATTTCAGTGACGAGTCCATGTTTACTATATTTGGTTCAGAGTGCAAACTTACGTACGCCGTAGAACAGGTGAAAGACTGTCTTCTCAATGTGTCAAGAAAACCGTTAAGTTTGGTGGCGGCAGTGTGATGGTGTGGGGAATGATTTCATCTGCAGGAGGTGGCCCTATCATCCGTGTACATGGCAATATCAATGCTGAGATTTACAAAAGGCTTCTTCAGCAGCATGTGGTACCAAGATTACACCATAATCTTTATGAATCTCCTATTTTCATGCAGGACAATGCACCTTGCCACAAGGCTCAGAAGGTTATGGCTTTATTTGAAGAAGAAGGAATCGCCCTAATGAAGTGGCCAGCCCAGAGCCCCGACCTGAATCAATAAAAATGTTTGGAAGATAATTGGAGAAAGGGCTCAGAAAAAAACCGAAAAAACCAGGATCACCTATGAGAGTTATTGAAAGACGAATGGGAGGGAATTACTGCTGATTTTTTGCAAGAAATTAATTAGATCATGTGGTCGACAATGCAGAGAAGTCATTGAAAATAAGGGGATGTTTACAAAATATTAAATTTTGTTGATATTTTGTTCACAATCAAGTATTAACAAGATCGTTCCTTAACTTTTGTCCAGTAGCTTATTTCCTTTGTTCCATTTAATCTTTATTTAAAAAAAACAAACTAAAATGTAAATTTTTTTAACCTTGTATAATATTTATACATTACACCCTAATCTTTATTCGGTAAAAATTTCATTGCTAATCATGCATTGCTTTTTAAGTAATACAGATATTTATGTCTTTGTTGTTTCTTTCCCTTATATTATGGCCGCTACTGTATATAATGTAAGATATTATGTATAATTCTTAATATATATTAAATAGCTCTTTTATTTAAGATTGGGCACTATTTTTCTAACATTCCATATTCTTTATATGTATTTATATACGATCGTTCGCTCGTACATTTACCTATATTTACACATTTGGTTATATATATATATATATATATATATATATAATTGCATAATTTTAAAATACTAATATATATATATATATATATATATATATATATATATATATATATATATATATATATTGGAAAATTATGCAGCGATTGTGTGAGAAGCTCCGTATATAGTGCGGTATGCAGCCCTCCTTGCTCATCATCTATGGGGAGAATGCAAATTCAGTGAATTCTGGGGGTTAAAACTTGATCTATCCAAAGGTTTCTTTGTGGTGCATGTATTTGTTGAGGTTTAAATGTATATAAATACGAGGCATTATTTTTCATGCTTCAAACGTATATATTGAATTTTCAGTTCTTTCTTTCTTCCTTTCCTAAATATTCTTTCACTTTCTTCTTTTTTCTTTCTCCTTTGTTATTTCCTACTCTCTAACTTAACTATTTCTTTCGTTTCATGAAAGTGTTGTTTTTTTTCCTGTCAAATATATTGTTTTTGTTTTTTCTCTCTCTCTCCATCGGATCAAATCTCTATTTCATCGTCCGTTCTCTTTCGTTATTGATTACTTATTTACGATCGAATCATTTTCTCCACTTTGACCCTCCCAGTACATCGGTGACATTTACAAAACAAGAATTTGAGCACGCCCCTGGGAGAGTCAGAATGATGAGTTAAAGCGAGAAAAAGAGACAGCAAGAAAGAAAAAGCGTCAGAATAATTACTCGAAAGCCATTTTGTGTATAAGGACACGTGTCTATAGTTTGAGGCGGGAAACGGCCATTTTTCCAACTAATCGGGCACAGCTGGTATATTACAAAAAATGAACGCATATAAAAAATAAAAATGATGCTGGGAAAATGTATTATTATTGCTATTAATTATAATATCTATCAATACGAATAGCAATATCGAATTAATGCTAACAACTACAACAGGAAGAAGAATCGCTCCGAGCAAATAGATTAGATTCATTTTGCTGAAAAATTCAAGGCATCAGAGACTAAAAGAATATAGAAAGACTGTAACAAAGTAAAATTCTAAGAATAACTATAAATTTCTTAATTGTTTAACGGTTAGGTACATGTAAAAGTTCCAAGTGGTCTGTTTTTTTTTAAATATAGATTAATATTGAGTTGAAAACCATTTTCTCTTCATGGAAACTTTTGCACACACTTTGTGTTAAAAATATATATATATATATATATATATATATATATATATATATATATATATATATATATATATATATATATATATATATATATATATATATATATAGTTATATATTTATATATATATATATATATATGTATATATATATGTATATACTGAATGTATAGTTTTATGTTTCTTTTATGCATTATCTGCATTTCTGTCTGGGTCTGTCTTTATATCTCTCTGTCTATATATATATATATATATATATATATATATATATATATATATATATATATATGTGTGTGTGTGTGTGTGTGTGTGTGTGTGTGGCAGTTTAAAGAAAAAGAGAAGAATCAAAGAAAATAATTATGGGAAAGCACCAAAAAAAAAAGAAGTGAGAAAAAGATAAAAAACATTTGAAAGAGGAAGAGGAGGAAGAGAAGAAGAAGAAGAAGAAGAAGAAGAAGAAGAAGAAGAAGAAGAAGAACAACAACAACAACAACAACAACAAACAACAGCAACAAAATCAGAATGAAGATATGAAAATAAAAATAGTATTAAACTTAGTAGTAGCTGCAGCAGCAGCAGTAGTAGTAGTAGTAGTAGTAGTAGGAGTAGAATTAGTAGTAGAAGAAGAAGAACAAGGGCAAGAACACGAACAAGAAAAAGAACAAAAAACGAACAAGAACAAGAAAAAGAACAAAAAAACGAACAAGAACAAGGAAGAAGACGACGATGAATAAGAGTAAAAACAAACAACCAGTAAGAAGAGTATAAATGAAATAATTGATTAGAAGAAGAAGAAGAAGAAGAAGAACAACAACAACAACAACAAGTAAGACCAGGGAAAAAGATATAAAAATAAAAGAAGATGAACAAGAACAAAGAAGAAGCCGACGAAGAAGCCGAACAAGAATAGAAAGAGTTGCAGGCGTCAATAATAAGAAGAGCAACAACAGCAACAACACTAAGACAAGGTAAAATAAACAGGTTAGAAGAAGAAAAAGAAGAAGAAGAGGAGGAGGAGGAAGAGCAAGAACAGCAACAACATTAAGACAAGGTAAAATAAACAGGTTAGAAGAGGAGGAGGAGGAGGAAAAAGAACAAGAATAATAAAAATAACAAGACAAGGAAAAAATATGTAAGAATAAAAGAACAAGAAGGAGAACAAGGAAGAAGACGACGAAGAACAGGAACAAAAAAGTTTGCCGAAATAGATGAGAAGAAGAAGAAAAAGAAAAACGAAAATGACGAAGACAGTAAAGAAAAAAAAAACAAAGAAAAGAAAGAAGAATAGAACAACAAAGAAGAAGAAGAGCATTAATACTAATAAAGTATGAAGAATTATAAAAAGTAACTAAAAAGAGGAATGAAAAAGAATCTAAAAATATTCACTCCTCAGTAAAAGTAACACCAACAACAAATGTGCAAACCACAAGAAATCGGAGGAACACATCTGTTGGTTGTCACAAGGTTAAAAAGGCTTGGCTACTTCGATTTTATTGCAGAATTTTGCACGAATTCTTGCTTTTTTCCCATATTTTTAAGCCTCTTTCTTGCCAATTATACACTATTACCTGGAGGCTTCGGCTGTAATTGGCAAGATGAATATTAACATGATGGTTCAGGCCGTCAGTTCGAAGGCTTCTCAAATCAAAACCATGAAATATTTACCTCACAAATCTGACATTTTTATAACATTCTTTCCATGGTTTAAGGTTTTCCATTGTGATTCTTGTTAGTGTTGTTTCTTAAGGTAATAAACAGGAGATTGCAATGTTTATTTTGGATTGCCATCCTAGTGCATATTAAACGACCAACGGCTGTCAGAGCTTTTAATCCAAGAAAAAAATCAAAAATGATTTCTCACACTGAAGCGAGAGATAAAGAGAAAAAGAAAGGAAAGAGATGGGAAAATGCGAGAGATTCATCTTCAAAATAACTATGCAATTAAACTAGTAAGCAATGTATACACCTACCTATGCACACACACACGTAAACACCCTAATATATATATATATATATATATGTGTGTGTGTGTGTTTGTGTGTGTGAGAGAGATAGATTCTCTCTCTCTCTCTCTCTCTCTCTCTATATATATATATATATATATATATATATATATACACACACACACAAGGGTCGGTAGAGATATCACGATCTACTTATCAATACATACAACTATGAATACATAGATTCATCAATACGTATATAGAGAGACAGAGAGAGAGGAAGAGAGCGAGAAATACAGAGATAGAGAGAGAGAGAGAGAGAGAGAGAGAGAGAGAAAGAAAGAAGCGACACACACACATATATATTCAATTGTATGGATATGAGTTTGTGATCCTGGGTGTCACGCTTTTGCGATCATCAAACAAACTGGTTTATTTTTTTAAATTGGATCTATTTATGTTTGTTTGACTATGTTTGGTGGTGGGAGGGGGTATTTCCTTCCGAGCTTGTTTATAAACCCATATCGATAAACTGAATATGTTAGCTCTATCACTAATATCTAATACGCTTCTAAGTACTACACTTTTTTTTAATCCATGGCAGTTCAATTTTGCCAATATTTCTTCATATCTTGTATACAATAATATATATTAGAATTCGAATTTACCTAGTTTATATTATATTGTTGGGAATATCAGGTGCTGTAAGCTTGGATGTGCGGGTGGTGCAATGGATAATGGCTAGGAATTGTTAATCGGAGAGCCTAGTTCCAATTTCAGTTGGATTCATTACACTCACGCGCAAATATCCTTAGAAAAGGTATGAATCAACATCTTCATCTTGTATCACTAAATAATTATTATCTCCAAAAAAATTCTTATAATCCAAAAAAAATATTTTCTGGCTTTAAATAATCCGCAAAGTTTGATAAACCGCAAAAACTAATCAATCATACAAAACAATCAATATATTATATTGATTGAAACACAGAATTTATAGAGTTAATTTTTCGTAACAAGTGCTTTCATTGTCTGGCAAAGAGGCACAATTCACGCTCTTTGACAGATCGCATCTCCGTTATAGGTATAGGGATATTGGAAGTGTAGCATAGCGAACTTGAAAACTTCTTGGCTACGTCTTTCAGAAATGGTACATCTCGAATGGATAGAAGTGAAGAGGACATTCTTTTTGAAAATAAAGATAAGTTAAATGGACGACTAAGATGACAACAGAGATGAAAATGTCGCGTAAAGAAATGGCAACCTACTTCGAGAATATCTTCTGCCTAATCAGTCAAGAATCAAAGAGACACGACCGTCGAAGCGTGCATTAACAGCACTTAACAAACTAATTGACCAAATATTTCCATTGTACTTAGTCACACAGCCAGTCATCCTAATCTGATTTTTACATGATTGATTAGACTGATAGCATTTTAACTATAGGATCTGGGTTCAAAACTCGCAATAGTTGATTTAACAAGGAGATGAATTCTTTATAATATTGCCTTGGGTAGAAAATCACAATAGGCATCACCATTGTATATAATGAAGTGTTGTTCATATTCAATGAATTTGATATAATTATTGATTACGTTTTGTTTTTTTCTTTTAAGAAAGTTTGTATGTATGAAAGATTTAAATTATGTACGTTTTCTGTCTTCTCCAACAAACTAACGAAAAGTTTAAAGAAATGGAATAAATCGAAAACTGTCCGTATAGACCCGAAAAGGTTACCGAATTAATTAAACCAAATTGAAAACGATTCAAACAGAATCTTTAAATTAACAAATACGCTACTTCTTACATCCATCCCGATTAAAAAAGTAAGTTAATCCACCAGAAGCCCACTCGATGAAACTAAAAAGATAATCGACTGCATAACTATCAACAGAAGATTCAGGAATGCAGTTGTTCGCTGCAAAAACTATCCAAGAGCCGACTGCGGGAGCGATCACCTTCTAGTTATATGTAAAGTAAGAATGAAACTACAGAAACTGAAGAAGCCTGATACAGCGCCCAAAAGGAATAGGAAATTGTGGAGAGCCTTGATCGCCTATATCCTGAAAGGACGTGGCACGTAGAAGAAGTATGGACCCCATAGACCTCCGATGAAATGTGCAACGGCACACATACTTCCCAGTTATGACATTTGCATCTCTGTCACTTTGTTGACATTTAAGCGTGTACTTCCCGCCTTCTCATGTTGTTTTGAGACCACGCCAAGAAACTATGAACTTGTGCGGAACGAGAAAGGGCGAGACTTGAGACGTGTCGCGTTTCAATTGAGTCTGAGAAAACTATAAGAGTTGAGATGTTTGTTAAGCGAAAACTTGGTGTCAAGATGGCGAACGAGGAGAAAAGAGGGAAGAGCGAGGAATGACCGTGAAGGACGATAAGAAAACGCCGTTTGTTGGCCGCCCCTCAACAAATGTTATTCAGATCGGCCAAGAGGGTTTTAAGCACGAGCCCAGAAAGAAAAAAAAAAACGCAAGTCAGGTCAGATAGGAAGGGTCAACAACTATGAGCTTGCGTGTGAAAAAAGAGAGAAAAAAGGGGAGAACAAGTGAAATTACGCGAAATGTCCACTTTATTTTTCTCTCGATTCCAGTTATCATTCTTTTTTCTTCAATTTATATTCCATCGTGCCATTCTGAAGACTTTCTTTTCAACAATTTGTGTCTTTTGTCGTTATTTATAGATTTGCTTTTTTGTTGCTTTCCTTTTTCTTTCATTATTTCTGCTTTCTATCTATCTATCTATCTAAAGTGTGCGATGGTAAAGTGTCGCCATTTTATATTTTTAATTTTGCACATGCGCGTTGTTTTTTGATTTTTGTCGATTACACAGTGTACAGGATGCGATGGATAAATTGTCATCTAAATTAGGCAAAAACTAAAATAACACTGACATTTCATTTTAACAGATATATTTACCAAAATTACACAAAAACATCTTGAAATACTTAAGAGTAAATTTATTCAATAAAATAGCCATTGGCTTCAACCACTGCTTCCAGACGACTTCGGAATATCCTGTAATTCTTATGGAGGGTCTCCTTGTTTAACTTGGTGAATGCTGCCATAATCCTTGCTTTCAGTTCATTTTTGGTGTTAGAAGGAGTTTTGTTGGTATCTCGCTCAGCTACGACCCACACATAATATTCAAGGGGGTTGCAGTCTGGTGAGTTAGCTGGCTAGATATAAGCGGTGATATGGTCGCAGAAATTATCTGACAGCCATGACTGGGATCTCCTGCTTGTGTGGCATGAGGCAGACTCCTGTTGCCAGACATAGGGTCTTCCAGCAGCCACCCTCTTGACCCAGGGTGGCACTAACATCTCAATAAACTTCATGTAGAACTCAGTGTTGAGTCTGGGTCTCTAACCAACAAATTCACTAGTTCGTTTCTCAGCAGAACTATTAGAATGAGTTTTAGGCTGCCGTACCTTTATAATCAGCATTAGACTCCCCCAACTTATTCCAAATCCTCTGCACTGTCCTCAGATTGTCACCCAAATGCTTTGAAATGTTCATATTGGTGCTTCCGGCGCGAGTGCCAAGAAGTACATCGTGTTGTTTCGAAATTTCTGGCGATGTTAATTGCGTCATGGTACTTATTTTTTCCTTACAGACGGTGCCTAAATGACCCTTCTAGAGGGTGTGATAGGTAAATTATCTTGAAATATAAATAAATTTATTTCATAAACTCGTCATTGGTTTCAAACATGGCCTTCAGACGACTTTGGAATCTCCTGCAACTCTCCTGGACGGTCTCAACTGACTTCTACTGTGCAGTCGACAAAATCAAACACAAACAACGCGCATGCGTGGAATTAAAAATATAAAATTTGCCTATTGCTGTCAGACAATTTCAGCGACCACACATTACCCCTTCTATCTAACCATCTAACTATCCAGACTGCAACACCTTAGATTATTATCTGTGGGGATCAGTTGAAAAAGAGACCAACAAAAATTTGTAACACTTAGGATGAACTAAAATCAAGCATTTTGTTAGCATTCACCAACTTAACCAAAGAAATCGTCCAGAAGAGTTTCAGGAGATTCCGAAGTCGTCCGGAAGCCGTGGTTCATGCCAATGACGATTTTATTGAATAAATTTACTCTTTGTTATTTCAAGATATTTTAGCATAATTTAGTAAATATTAAAAATATTAAGTTTTTACCGATATTTTCATTTATGCGTAATTTAGACAGCATTTTAACCATCGAACTATCTATCTATCTATCTATCTATCTATCTTATTAATGGTTACTTTTTTCCTTTTTTGTAACTTGTGGTCACTTTTAATTCTTACTATTTCTTCTCGCCTTCTTTTTTTACTGTTTCTTTTCGTTTAGTTTCTTTCTCTCTCTAATTTCTTTTTCTTTTTTTTATTCTACCATATTACTACTTGTCGCCGTTCTTTTTTATTACTTTCTTGATTCCAGCCTCATTTTATTCCTCAATTTTCTTTCTTTCTTTCTTTTCACTCCTTATATCCTCTATTTTCCCTTCAGTGAAATACCGACCCCCATACGATCACCGAAGTTAAGCAACGTCGAACCTGATCAGTAGCTAGATGGGTGACCGTTTGTAAATACCAGATGCTGTGAGCTTGGATGTGCGGATTATGTAATGGATAGTGGTACGGAATAGGTTAATCGGAGAGCCGAGTTCCAAATCCAGTTGGGTTTGTTATATTCACTTATGCGCAGATACCATTGGGAAAGGTATGAATCCACCTCTTTTCTCCCAAGCTATGGGTTAAGCAGAGAGATATGTATCGCTACGTCTCCACCCCACAAAAAATTTCTTACAATCTGAAAATAGTTTATGGCTTTAAATAACCGGCAAAGAGTTGGTAATCCGTAAAAACCGAATAAATCAATTAATCCGCTACGGCCGTGTCGGGAATGTCTTAGGCTCAGCTATGAAGGGATTTACTGAACGCAAAATTCTTATCTTTTATCATTTGAATTGATTTTGTGAAGTGGATAGCGTTGAAAAACATTCATCACCTCCTTGTGCTTTAGTATTTTTCATTTTTTTCTATCGTTTAATCTCTATCTATAAAAGGCAGGATGTGTGTGTGTGTGTGTGTGTGTGTGTGTGTGTGTGTGTGTGTGTAGCGAATGCACGGCCACAATTTTCGACGGATTTGCACCAAAATTTATATGCACATGCTCCAAGACCGACTTTGCATTTCCCAACTCCCATCGATTTTGGAAATAATCGAGTTTTTCATGCTTCTACGGTACTTTTTTTGTAGTTTGCGGCCATTTTCGACTGGCCAGAGTGAGAGCCTATAGCTGGCTGTCACAAATAGGCAGGAAGATTCTATTGGCCAGCGTGAGAGCCAACAGCTGACTGACACGAATGTTAACTAGTATGCTAACATGCAAAAAAAAATCGATAGCTTCATTCGTCACAAGTGGGAAAAATTTAAATCTGCATGGCATTTTACTCCAATTGGCTCATTCGATTACTTAAACTCAACGTTGATTCTGATTCCGCAGAACTGGGTTGGGTGTGAAAAAGTATTTGTTATTAACATTCTTTTTTCATTCGTTTTTTTTCTGTTACGAGTCCTTTTTTTAAAGCTGATCGTTTTGTGTTCATTTTGTTTAGTTCTTTTTTTCGTAACAGATTTAATGTTTAGTATAGAGCTTAGAAAAAATTCGCAGTGTGAGATAGGCAAGAAGTAAGGCATGTAGCAACATCAGCACGGCAAAGGGCACTCATTTAAAGGCAAGGAAGGGCAAAAATATTTTAAGTCAAGTGATAGCGATTGCTGTATGAGTTGTACGATTTTTTAATCAAGCACGGCTAACGCCGGGCCATGCTGCTAGTTACTTATATTCTTTCTTTCTTTACTTGTGAGTTTCTTTTTTGTCTTTCATACACTGTCATTTATTTTTATGTTTTTATTTCTTTCTTATTTTCTTTCTTTTTATTAGTTTCTTTGTCTTTCTTTCTTTACTTTTATCTCGATTTCTTTTTTTCTCTTCTTACGTTTTTTACTTATTATTTTATAAATCACTGAATTATTCATTCATTTATTCTTTCTTTTGTTAATGGCTGTGTTTTTTCGGTTTGTATGTCATTTGCATATTTACGTTTTACGTCTTTTATTTTCTTATATTCCCTGATTCTTTCTTTCTTTCGTTCTATCTTTCGTTCTATCTTTCTGTAGTTAATGGATTCTTTTCCATATTAAATTTAATTTTGCTGCCTTCACTTCATTTCTGTTAATCATTGATTCTTTCTTTCTTCAGATGATGTCTGCATTTTAATTTTTTTAATTTCTTTTTGCATCTCCACTTCATTCATTCATTCATTCATTCATTCTTTCTTTCTTTCTTTCGTTAGTTAATGGCTACTTTCCATATTAAATTTAGTTTTGCGCCTTCACTTCATTTTTCGCATTCATTTTTTCTTCCTTTTCTTCTTCAGTTGAAATGGGGTTTTTTTCCAATTTTTACTTTATTTTTTACGCCTTCACTTAATTTCTGTTAATCATTCATTTTTTTCTTTCTTCAGATGATGTCTACTTTTTCTTTTTTAATTTCTTTTTGCGTCTCCACTTCATTCTTTCTTTCTTTCTTTCGTTCTTTCTTTCGTTCTTTCTTTCTTTCTTCAGTTGATATCTGCTTTTTCATATTTTAAAATTTATTTTCTGTCTTCACTTCATTTCTGTCATTCATTCATTTTTCATTCTTTCATTTTTCAGTTTGTTAATTCATTTTTGCGTCCTCATTTAATTTGTATTCTTCTTTCTTTCTTTAGTTGGACGCTACTTTTTCCAGCTTTCATGTTTTTTCTTTACGTAATTTTTCTTTCAATCACCGATTTATTTATTTATTGGCTCTTTCCTATTTTCATTATTTTCTTGATGGCTGGTTTTAAAAATCTTCCCGTTTTATTTTTGCGTAAATTCTTTTTTTTTTCACTGATTCCTTCTTGCTTTTTATTCATTCATTTTTTTTCTCGATATCTTTTCCGATAATCTTCTTCCTTCCATCTTCTAATCGTTTTCTCTCGTTATTTTTTTAACTCTCTTTCATTTTTCTTTTCCTTTTACACAGTCGGCCAGCTCCTTCACTTCATTCTTTCCTTGTCCTTGGCAAATTCAATACTCGAGAGCCCCTCATTTTGAAGATGCGAGAAGCAATGATTGGATACCACTGATATCATTCAGTTAATTGCTTATCTGCTAGCTTTGGCCTGTAATATCCACCTCTGCTTGTAGTTGCTCGCCGTCGGTGTTCATAATTGGTATTAGCTTTTGCCCTTGCCACCAAATATTTATATGCATCGGCTGAATTAGAAGGAATGACGGAGACGTTACGCACAAGGAATTCCATGATTGGATAGCTTATTTAGCACTCTATAAATTATCAGCGTTTTAACAGTTTCAGAACTATTGGGAAAATATGCTTCAGGAAAGAGTATATAATGCTAATGACATTGTGTATATTTAAAATTTTATTCATTTCTGTACGTATATGGCAGAATCACTCCGGAGAAAACATTACCTTTTGAGATATGTTTTAAACTATTGTTATTTTAGTTTTGGCACAAGGCCATGCAATTGGGGCACCCAGTGAAGAGTGTACGCGCTACTCAGTAGTAATGGTCAAACAAATTAGCTCACGAACAATTAAACCACGTGGAGATGCCTTGAAAGTAGTAAACGTAGTTTTGACACAAGGTCACAAATACGGGCGCTCAGGAAAGCGTGGACTCGCTACTGAGTAATGAATCCGATCAACAAAGTTTCATTAAACGGTAATCGACACGTTTTATTCTTCAGACAATTGTCTTATTTCTTCTTCTTCTTCTTCTTCTTCTTCTTCTTCTTCTTCTTCTTCTTCTTCTATGAGCAGTGTTCCTTCAAAACACAAGCGACCATGGTGCCCCACAACTTCCTGTCTTGTGTAGCCCTCAGTAAAGTTTTTATTTTTCTTTGTCACCAGTCCCTGTTCAGCCAGCCATTTACACAAGCTCGTTAGGCAGTTTGTGTGCTGCTTACAGTATGAAATCTTGCCTTTAATATATGTCTTGTGATTGCCAAATTCACGTATCATTTTTGTTTTATTTTATCTTTTAACAGGACTAGACAGGATAGCCTATCGCCCTGTTCAAACTTCTACCCGGTCTTTTGAACGGAAGTAGAAGTTTATCCCCTGTTTCCTGTTTAGGATTGGGGCCGCAGTTCCTTCTAAAGTCTGCTTCAGCTCTGTACCCCTAACTCTTGTCCTTTCTTACGCTAATCTTACACAACTCCACACAGTGTAACCTTCTACCTTGAGTGGCAGATAAAACTTGCAGGTAGTTGTGGAGAGTCATGATCGACTACGTCCTGAAAGGACACATCATAGAAGAATAAGAACTTATAGACCGACATACCGTCCTATATTATGGCAACTTTAATCCGGAGGTCGGTGTATTTCTTAACTTTATCAAATTCTTTTACCTTGATATTATGGTCCCTACGGACAGCTATATTAAGGGCCTTTTCTTGGTTCTGATTTTCTTTTTCACCGTCAGTGATGTCTGGTTTGGTGTTATGAAGGATGCGTTATAAATGGATGTTGAAATTCCACATGATCTTGAAATGGTTTTGTCAGTATTATGTCTTTTCGACTTCAAGTCAATATTTCCTACACAGGCATCATGCAGATTAAAGTACACTTTATCAATGCGGTGCTTGGATTCTTTCTGTGCAAGATTTTATTATTATTATTATTATTATTATTATTATTATTATTATTATTATTATTATTCCCTTTGATTCCGGTTGTATAAAAATTTCCTTTTGAGTCCCGACCAAAGGACTATGGCTTCATGACGTTTTCCACTGATCATTTTTGTGAAAAAAAAACAACAAAAAAACTAAGGTCACACATATTTTATACAGATAAAGCTTTTCGTAATGTGTCAGCTGTACTTATGAGAACATATTTTTGCATTTCTTTAAGGTATTGGCTACCAGGAATCCATTTAATGATTTTATCGGAACCATTTTTTAATCAATGAAAGGGCTCCAACTACAAGTGTTATTATTGATGTTATCATGTACCACGTTTTTTTTTAGATTTTCACTTCAAGATTATTGTATATTGATAGTTTTATTATTATTATTATTATTATTATTATTATTATTATTATTATTGCATTCACGTTTCCTTCCGGGTCCCAACCAGAGACCTCAGATTAGAAATGGCTTTCCACTGATCATTTTTCTAAAAAAGAAAACCTAAGATCACACACATTTTTAAAACATAAAGCTCTTCATAATGTGTGTGCTGTACAATTTTTGTATCTCTTTAAGGCATGGTCTACCAGGAATCCTTTCAATGAGTCTATTGGAATTTTTTTGAATCAATGCGATGGCTCCAACTATACCTAGAATTACTGATGTCCTCTTGTGTCCCATTTTTGAGATTTCCATTTCAAGATCTTTGTATTTTGATAGATTTTAGATGATCCTCAAAGATACATTACAATCCGGAACAGTCAAGACAATAAGAAAACACATTCTCTTCTTGTGGTTTTTGATCACGATGTTTGGACGATTAGCTTTGATTGTTCTTCCCGTATATATTGTAATAATAATAATAATAATAATAATAATAATAATAATAATAATAATAACAACAACAACAACAACACTGGTGACCAAAAAGAAAAAAAAAAAAAAAAAAAAACTGAAATGGTGTCGTGACACCAGACATCTTTTTTTAGCTCATTTGAGGGCGTATATTCTGATAATGACCTCACTTTTTCTTCGTTAGCTACCATTTTTTGTTGTACAGAAATGTCACATCTTTGGGGAAAAAAAGCATTTATTTTCTGTATATATGGTATTGACTGATGACAATATTTCTCAAAATAAAATCATAGAAACCTCTCAATTCGTATTTAAACTAACAAATACTTATTGGGAAATACTATTTTTGCAATAACACTCAGACCCTAAGTCTTTAAAATTAACACAATTGAATATATCAAAACCAACAAGTATTTTCCTCAAATTATTTAATAAACTAACAGCAGAAATAAAACCTTCATGAGCATAAGAACTCTAGTATAAATTTTCTCTTCCTTGATTGTCATGTTCAATGTTATTTAAGTCCCTTTTGATACTCCAGCAGTATCATGTACAGTGGAATAGGTGCATTCAATTGGGATTGTGAAAACAAAATGCTCTCAGTATGCTTGGTTTCCTTACGTAGTGAAGAGATAAAAGTGAGGGGATGAATTCATGAATATCAAACATAAGATTTTAAGATTTCATTTTCTGATGCCACTTTAATTATCAGGTTTAAAGTGTATTGCTGATAAAGTTTATCACTTAATTTGAATTTTGACGAGAGATTTCAAAAATTCGGTACTTCTATTTTAAAATGTTTGACTCAAAAACATTTTTTCTCATTAAAATAGTTTCTTTCAGGTGGCTAACATAAATTGCTCGACCTACCTGAAAATTGGGGGATGTCTATGACATTTAATAACTAAATTTCGCGATCATTCAAGATCGTAAATTGATATTTTTTTTTCCAAAAATGAGCAATTTTAGTAGAGCAAAAATGGAAGCTAACTATGAAAAAATAAAGTCACTTTCGGAATCACAAACATGAAATTAGCTAAAAATGGGGTTTTGTATTTTCGGCACCAAAAATCCTATTGACCAATGTAATAGCTGAAGATTTGTGTAAGAGAAAGAAAGAGAATGATAATAGAATGAAAGTGGAGTGTAAGAGAAAAAAGTAGAGGAAGAAAAAGAAAATTACCAGGAAAATAATGAAGTAGAGTACAAGAACTTTATTTTCCAGTAAGACATGAGGATGCTCAGACCTCTAAATTGCTAGTGGTCTTTGAAGATACCGTGATAAAAGATTGAGAAGGCCCAGTGTCAGTCAGTTTCCAGTGAGGAAAAAGCAGATATCTTGTTTAAGCATGCGAATACATGAATTCATAATAATTTTATTTACAGTTTCAGGGAAATAAAAGCGACATTTTGCAATGATTTCATTATGCAGCCATAAGCTGCCACCGGGAAAATATTGTTTAAATATCGTAATTCGAAATCCACAAATAAAATAACTAAAGATACTTTCAAGCAGTAATGTCGACAATGTTCTTATTCATACGTTATCTAAAAACGTATTAATGCAGCTATATAATGCAGCTCTGTGTCCGTGTGTGTCTACTCTTTATTTACTTTAATCTTCGCCTTCTCTTTGTTTTCTCTCCTTTTTTCTCTTACTTACCTCCTTCTTGCAATTACTCTCCTCTTTCATTATTTTACTCTCCTTTTATTTTTCTATATGTTCGCCTTCGTTTACTTTTTTCTCCTCATTGATATATATATATATTAGTTGTTTTCTATTTCTTTCTTTTCTTTATTGACTTGCTCTCAACCGCTTACTCTTTTTTTTATCTTGTTCTGCTCTTTTTTTTTCCTTTCGTCTTGCTCTCCTTTATTTTGTTCTTTTACTCTCCATTTTTATTTCCTTACCGTCCTTCTCCTTATATTACTCACCTTTTGCTTGATTTCATCCTTTCTTTCTCTTTCTCTTATTTTTTTTTTTTGTACTTCTTAATTTTTGCTCTCCTAGTTCTTTCCGTTACTTTCCTATTTCGCCATGTTTCATCCTTTTTCAACTTTTTTCTCTTAATATCATCTTTCTTTACTTTGCTCCCCACTTTCATACCTTTAACGTCTCTTTTCATTCTGTTACATTTCTTTTCTCTCCTCTTTCTTCCTTTTGCACCAATATATCTTCACTTGCTCCCCTCTTTATACATTTACTTTCCTCTTTGTCTCTGTAAGAGAGACAAAGAGAATAGTAAATGTATAAATTAACTCTTATCAGCCACCTGATGATGACCATTTTTGTCTGTTTTTCTTCACCTTGTTCTCCTTACGCTCCTTTTTATCCTCTTGCTGTTTTTCTCTTACCTTCTTTGAAATTTCCATTCTATGCCTTTGTCTCACGTTTCATATAATTACTCTAAAACTTCACCGTTAGTCAACCATTTTTTTTCTCGTTTTACTTCGCCTTTCTATTGCCCTTCTCTTTCATTCTGTTACCTTCTTCTTTCTTTAACTCCCCCCTCTTTTAATACCTTTAATATCCTCTTTCTTTCTATTAGTCTCTTTTTTTTTTCTACTCTTCTCGCTTTCACATTTTTCCTTCACTTATTCTTTCTTTCAGTTACTCACTTTTCTCAATTGCAGTAAATTTTCCTTCTCTAATTATTATTTTCCTTTCTTGTTCTTCCGCTTTTTGCTTTGCTCGCCTCCCCCTTTCTTTTTCAGTTCTCTTAATTTCGCCCACCCATCCTTTTCGTCGCCTTGCTCTCCTCTTTCACACACTCTGCTGGTTTTCTCTGTTAATCTTTTTTTATTCATTCTCTTCACTTAGTTTTTTCAACAATTCTTCATTCTCCTATCCCTTTTCTTTGTTTTGGTCTCATCTTTATTTCTCTTACATTTCCCTTTCATTTTTTCCCTCTTCTTTTTTATCACCTTGCTCTCCTTACTTTCCTCTCCTTTTATTCGTTCTTTCCTCTTTTTTCTTTTACTCTTATTTCTTCTGCTTTTTTCCTCTCTTTGTAATGCCCCCTCTTTCTTTCTCTTATAATTTTCTTTCTTTCTATCACTCTTACTTTTTTCACCTTTATAATCTCTTTCATTCATTTACTGTCCTCTTTTTCTCTGTTAATCTCCTTTTAATCTTTCTTTCCTCTTTTTTTGTCTCATTTCTTTCACTCTTCGCTGTCTTTGTTTTGCCTTCCTCTTTCTTTCGCTGACATTTCTCTTTTAGTCTTCAACTCTTCTTTTTCTTCACCTTGCTCTCCTCTTTGATTCACTTACTTTCCTCTTTCTTTCTGTTAATCTCGTTTTATATTTTCTCTTCTCTCTCTTTCTCTTGACCGTAGCCTTATTTCTTTTGCTCTCCATTTTTCTTCTTTTTTTTTTTTTTTTTCAAATTCCTTTTTTCTTTTTCCCGTCTTCATTATTTCTTTAACGTTCTTCCTCTCCCTTTATATAAATATTTCTTTGCTCTTCTTCCTTACACGCAGCTTTTTCCAATTGATATTTTTGATTCTCTTACCACTTCACCGAGCGGACATTTTCAACGAAATAAAGAAACAGTTCCATTCTTGAAAATTTAAAGAGCATCATTCATTCGCAAAAATAAAATGAATCCGTGCTGAGTAAAAGACAAGTATCTCCAGAACAATCCTTATAATTATGGTACAAGTGGCTGGAGTCGTAGCATTTACAGCAGTTATTTGAAAAGCCCGATAATGTCAGTCGAGTTCCTAAGTGTCTCTTGTCATTCTATTTCGAACGATTCGTTGATATAAAGAAGAAAACCGTCACACAAATAATTATTTTAAAATCCACTTTTGTTTTTAATATTTGGCCGATAGTTTCTTAATGATCGTTAATTCTTTTCAGATATTAAATATTTTAGAAATCTTGATATGCAATTTATTCTTACATTTCTTGAAGTTTATTTTGTTTCCTGCTATACTTCTTTGAAATTAATGAACATTTAAAGGTCGTGCGTCAGGCTATCAAGTAAACAAGGAATCTTCGAGAGCTATCATCGGGTTAAGATCGCCACTCCTTATTTCAAATTCTACGCTGATGGAGGGTTTCACAGCTATGGCCAGTATAACTATTCCTCGTTTGTTAGATTAGGTGACTTGCTGTTTATGCTATATATTCGTGCTATGTTAATTCATACTGACAAACTAAGCTTTATTAAAAAGGACATTCTGTATCTACTGAAGTTATCTGACGCATTTTTTTCCGAACTGCGAATCACTTTCGCAAACTAGGATGTTGCAGATTAAATAACCAAAAATTAAAAAAAAAAACAAAACAAAACAAAATCAAGGTGATATGCAAACTTTAAATTCACATCTTCATGGGTGTAAGAAAGTAAACTAAAGTGAAGAAAATCAAATAAAAATTGTTTTGAGTAGGTCCTTTTTTTTCTTTCTAAAGTATCGTTATATTTTTGTGCTTGAAATTGAATTCTATAAATTAAAACGAAAACAGTCATTATCTACACTATTTATATCGTTCGAACTTTATTATCATAGCCACGGCGTTTCAGCTCTTGTACGATATGACCTTCTCCAGGTGATATCCGTTGGAATTTCAAACCGAACTTGTTATTTAGTCCAAGTGGAGAAATTGTTCTAATTCCACGTGTCATACCTTTTTCGGATATCTCAGTATTAGTCAATTCCCTTTAGTAACTCAAATCTCTATTCTCTCAACTGTACCCATGTATTGACCTCACAACTCCTTGAGTCAACTCAATTTTAGATTACTCAACTAACGCTTATCCACTAGGCTACAAAAGAAGAAAGTCATTGGAGTAACGTGCAATGGCAACGCGTATTTTAGTTTACTGAAGAATAAGGGGTTGGAGGCTATAGTTAGTTTTATTATTGTATGGTAATATTTGTAGTATGTATATTTGTACTATGTCAATAGCTTTAATAATCTTTAGTCTTTTTTCATTATTGGATTAATGTAATATTTCAGTACTTTTTAATAGTTAGTAAGCATGATAAAAGCAAAATTATCATTAGAGAGATCCTCACGAACAATAAAAAATACCCCTTGTCTTAATCACTCATTTAGCGAGTTCAATCCCTGGGTCAGGTAGTAAACCACTTGCTCGACAGCAGGGAAGAATAACTGACATAAAAAGACAAACATAAAACATGGTATCAGCAAATAACTCTTATCAGCCACCTGATGATGACCATTTTTGTCGAGATTTGCAAACTCGACGTTTCGATCAATTTCGCAAACCAATCAACGAAATTTGAATAAGCTAATTTGTTTGGAAAAATGTTTTGATAAAAAACCCTATTCGCGATTTAATCTCTTTAATTTAATTTTAGAGGTCTTCACTGTAAACAATATTTTTTAAGAAAATTTATTTTTTCCATTTTTCCTTTTTAACAGCGAAGAATAGATTTTTAAGATTTCTTACTCTTAAGGATACAACATACAACTGGCCATGCGTAAATAGTTATTTCTGGCGCCAAATTCCAACATTTTGAAGCGGACGGCGAAATGGAAATCGGATGCTTGCATATATAAAATCTTAAAGAAAAGATATGCAAATAACAATATTGTGTTTTTATTAAATAAGTATTTGTTATTTTATCATTAAACTGATTTTAAAACAGTGGAAGTATTTTGCATGTTAAATAATAAATTTTTTAATTTTTCCAAAAAATTAATGAAAATTTATTGTACGACGCACCCTAGCAAAACCAACTGCACTTTGTACCTTTGCATTTTCCCCCCAAAATTTGGTTACGATCGGTCCATGCACGGCTATTTTAAAGGGTGTGACGGACGGACTAACGGCAGTTACAGCAATTTAGATATAGATAATAACACAAATCAACCAGTACGAAGATAATAGTCCGAAATAATACAAGTGTTTTGATAATTACTTATATAAGAAAAGAAATACTGAATTATTAAAAGTGGTACAAAATCTTCGTGATAGCCAAATATAACAAAAATATATGGTATTTAATATAAAGACTTCAAAATTATACCACTTCAGAACGGGAGGGGAGTGAATATTGTAGTTGGTCATACATATGTGACTATCTCGCGAGTTTAAACCCTAGATCAGGTAGTGAAATAGTATCTGGCATCACAGCGATAGAAATAACACAAGAAATCAACATATATCCCTTATCAGCAAAACATTGGACACCTGATGATGGTCAGTGGGTGCTTGGCTGAAACATTGTGGCTATAATAAAATATACTGGGTGTAACAGCAAAATTGTCAAAACCGTGTAACAGCAAAATTGTCAAAACCGTGTAACAGCAAAATTGTCCAATTGTTTAGATTAAGCACTGATCCGTTGTTTCTTAGAAATGATTAAAGCTATCTTGCGGGAATTCTCGTAGGTTTTTTTAACACTATTGGACTCTACTTTGAGCAATAAGAATGTATAATTACTCTCCAAGCTTAACAGAAGAATCGTGATGCAATCGAACATAAACAAAAATGACATGTTCATCATTAATTAATCATAGCTAAGGATCGGAAGCCCATGAAGTATTCCATTAAAGTTCATATATATATATATATATATATATATATATATATATATATATATATATATGTGTGTGTGTGTGTGTGTGTGTGTGTGTGTGTGTGTGTGTTTATTCCAGGATCATTTTCCTACTTATCCAAGTTGATATTTGCCCTCTCTAAATTCCTATGTTCTGTCCCGGAGTAACAAGTTGCCTCACATTTTTTCACATACAATTTCATTTTCAAGTCTTTTTTCATTGCTTTTTGGATTATCATAGCTGAAACTCCTCTCTCACGTGCAAAAAGTCTTATGGGTTGAGTTGGATCTTTTCTAATTGATTTCTTTAGCACTAAAATGAAATGATCCCTATTCCTGTTGTGATCTAATCCAGTTTTCCTCTCTGCTGTTCCTTCTTTTTTAAACTTATTCATCTCTTGATGTTTCTTAAATAGACTTTGAAGAGAGAAGCCAGAGTATGAATGTTGGTACCATTACTGAAGGCCTGAATGACGTTTTACTCTCACCATTGTTCAGATGGGAATACAGTGGAGCTGACACAAAGTGATTTTAACCTGGTCGCATTCTAGCTGAATAGCTGATAGAGTTTTTCAGTGATTCTTACTACAAATGGTGTCAAGAGGGCTAAAGGTGTCATCTGAAAACCTGGAAAAAAGAAACTCACTTTACTGTTTTTTTAGATATTTGTGGGGTGGATAATTATGCTGTTACCCGATTTGGACAATTTTGCTGTTACTCCCGGTATATCAATGAAAATGATAACAACAGTTTGAAATGACGAAATTAAATTAAGGTCTCTTATTAAAAGAAGGTAGGTCTACATGATGTGTATCGCTGGAATCGACTGACAAAACCTCGAAAATGGGAATGAATGGTTTTGGTCTAACGTTAGTCGGATTAAAAGCTGCTGTGAAGTGTGAGATACAAGTTCTACTCAAATGCCTTTTTAAATAGTAAAAAGAACTATATATATATATATATATATATATATATATATATATATATATATATATACCAGTCTTTCTGCTCATATGTAAATTAGGCAAGCCTGAAAAAAAAAGCATCCTTACAAGTAGGCAAATAGATGTTCTGATTAAAAGGAACTTGAATACAAAGCTTGTATCCGTAGAATGAATTGCTAGAAACACAAACGTGGCCAATATTTCCCATTAAGGGCAACACAGATATTGAAAATATTTCTTACTTTATTTACAGACGGATAGTCTAGTTGATAATATTTTAACTAGTTTATTGGACATTGAATTTTTTTATTCGACTTGTGCCGCCTAAATAAATAGGTTAAATATTATCGCTCGAAATGTATTCAGAAGTTTAAAATACGGTAAAAGCTGCTATTTTAAGCTAAGTCAATGGTTTAAGTGTTAAAAGGTTCCGCTGTCTCTTGTATTTGACTAAATCAAGAATTTTGGAGCAAGGAATTAACTTGATTCATAATTTTATGCTAAACTCTGAGTTTTTATCTTTAAAAAGAATCTTACCCGCCTAATATTTTGAAACAATTTAAGGGCTTTAGCGATTATAAGTTTACCATATCGGACATTTTCAAAGTAAAATATGAATTTGGTGTTTGTAAATTTGCCCCAATTCGCAATTACTTACAAAATCATATGTGATACTCTGCAAAAAAAAGTTTTGCCTGAAATTTTCAGACTTCAAAGAAGTTTACTAGCCTCATATATTCATACTGAAGACTAAAGCGAATAATTTAGTATGGACTTATTAAGAGAACTAAGCTTCCTTTAAGTTTTTACACCAAAATTCACGATTTAGCTAAATGAAATATCAGATGGCTTAAAGTTTCAACCATGAAAAATTATATTTTTTTTAAAATCAGCAAGATCTTCTAGTATTTTAACTTTGAAAATTTATTTATCTCATTCCTCTTTTCAAAAAAATAATTATTGACTCAGCGTAATATGTCGTGAAGCAGCGAAAAAACGTAAAGCCGGTGTTTACAATGAATTCTTATCAACCCACAGATGCCGTCATAATTGCAGTACAACACTATTCCAAATTAAACAACTTCACACACCGTCCTGGGTAAGACGATAAACTACACTCAACAGTAAGGCCTCTGATCAGGAGGTTTTAAGGAGTGTACAACCACCTCTTAATTGTTGGTGTTCCCAGGTCGATCCGGGGCGGGGGGAGCACCTGTTAGAGACACAGTTATAGGTAAAAAGTTAACCCCCAAACTGGGGTCAAAACATGATGAAAGTGTAAAAATAGGTTTTAATACCAGAAAAACTTTGCAAAAATTATTAACAGCAATAAATTTTTGAAGAAAAAAAAAATTACCAGGAATAAATTTTTGAAGAAAAAAAATTATTACCAGCAATACGGTTTTGAAAAAAATTATTACCAGCAATACATTTTTGAAAAAAATTATTAATAGCAATACATTTTTGAAAAAAAATTGTTACCAGCGATACATTTTTGAAAAAAAAAATATTATTACCAGCAATACGTTTTTGAAAAAAAAATATTATTACCAGTGATACGTTGATGAAGGAAAAAATAGTACTAGAAATATATTTTTGACAAAACAAAATGTTACCAGCAATAAAAAATTTTGTCAGCATTAAATAACCCATTGATGTTGATATGCTGTAAAACAAAACAAAACAAACAAACTTCACACACACACACACACACACACACACACACACACACACACACACACACACACACACACACACACACACACGGACATTCAATCACACATAAACACAAGTGCAGAGATATATGTAAGTTCCCATACTTCCGTTTAGAAAACGGTAACATTTCCAACGAAGCGTTTTTGACCCTGAGACTGGATACGTTTTCAGCGTTTAAACATCGTTGCCAATAACTCAACGCAGAACCAGTCATTTTTATTCTTCCATCACAGAATAAGAATATCATATCCATATAGATGTAACCTGTGCACGATCTTAGCAACATTTAATATATTTTCTTTTAACAAATGCATATATGCCAAGTTGAACCAATTTTGTCCAAGTTGTGTTGACAGCAAATCCTCAGCACCCGACTTCGACCGGAAATAATTCCTTTTGCGATTTCCTGATACCGAAGAATCCAATCGTGCCCACTGTAAGCATTAAGATACAGTGGAGTGATGTCATACATTTTTTTCCATTATATTAACATAAGGAATAGCAGTAGATGTTGATATCTTTGATTTTATTGTATATAAAAATAAATAAGTATGTAACTTTCCCAAAATCATATTTTTGTATAAAGATACTATTTTAGATATTTTTTATTGTACTATGCATAAAAGATGATACATTTTATGTATTTAAATATTATGAAAAGACATCTATCTTGTTCTTTTCATATCTATCTATCTATCTATCTATCTATCTATCATTTTCTTCATATCTATCTCTCTATCTTATTCTGTTCATATCTATCTATCTATCTATCTATCTGCGCATGTCTCAGTCTCTTCAGATCTATCTATCTATCTATTTATCTATCTATCTATCTATCACTCTTCATATCTATGTATATATATATATATATATATATATATATATATATATATATATATATATATATATATATATATATATATATATATATATATATAGATAGATAGATAGATAGAGATGATAGAGCAATAGAATGATTAAATATGAAACAGGGATGGAAACCTTGATAAATATAAGATGTTTCACTATGTATTTAGCATCATCAGAACGTAGAATAATATGGAATCTATCTTGCATTCTTTCTTTTTTCATCATATATCTGTGTAGCTAATTATCTATCTATCTATCTATCTATCTATCTATCTATCTATCTATCTATCTATCTATCTGCTTTCATTATCTTTCTTTCTTATATTTTCTTTTTATCTATCTGTTTTCATTATCAGTCTTTCTTTCTTATTATATTTTCTTTTTATCTCTCTATCTATCTATCTATCTATCTATCTATCTCTTAATATCTATCTGACTATCTATGAAGATAGATAGATAGATAGATAGATAGATAGATAGATAGATAGATAGATAGATAAAGCAATAGAATGATTAAATATGAAACAAGGATGGAAACCTTGATAAATGTAAGATGTTTTACTATTTATTTAGCATCATCAGAAAGTAGAATAATATGGAATCTATTTTCCATTCTTTCTTTTTTCATTATCTATCTATCTATCTATCTATCTATCTATCTATCTATCTATCTATCTATCTATCTACTCTTCCTTCTTCTTTTTTTAATAAAGAAAAACTTATTCACCGTTCTTTTGGTGGTTCTTGAATGAACTTTGAAAATGAAAGCCAGATTATAAATGTTGGTACCATTACTGATGACCTGAATGATTTTGTCTCTCACCATTGCTCATTTGGGAAGACGGTGAGGATGACGCAAAAGAACTTTAACCTGTTCTCTTTCTAGCTGAATAATTGAAAGAGTTGTCAATTATTCTTACGATAAATGGCATCAGGTTGACTAAACGTATTATCTGGAAACTTAGAAAAAGAAACCCAATTAGTTTGGTGTATTTATTATATATTAAATATTTTGTGGGATGGAGAATTATACTCCAACACGATTAGGAAAATTTGCTGTTAAATCCCGTACAAATATATATATATATATATATATATATATATATATATATATATATATATATATATATTTGTATTTTCAAAAAAAATTTCACTTGAAGATGGAACAGAGCTTACTTTAACTCAATTTAATTCAAATAATTATATTGGAGTTTTCGGCTCTTGTTTTGAAACGTGAGACCTCTTATGTCGCGAGTTGGAATCATATTTTTAAATAAATAATTTCTTCAGCGAAATAAGTGAGGAAAATCAGAAAGAAATCGTTAATGAAATCCACATACATTTGAATTCCTTATATAAATTTTGATGAATAAATCTTATTTTGCTCAACAATAAGTCAGTTTAGTTTCCTTTGCTTAGATGATGTGCTAATATCAAATTTATCACCACGCACACCCACCACACACAAACCTATCCCCTATATATATATATATATATATATATATATATATATATATATGTGTGTGTGTGTGTGTTATATATATATAAGTTTATATATATATATATATATATATATGCATGTATATGTGCAGATTGCTGAAGAAAAACAACTATAGTATTG